TTATATTTTATTTTCATAATTTTGTTTATTTACATTTTTAATGGAGAATCTATTTACATGGCCCAACTTTCCAAAGTTAAGAAAGAGTATAAAGAGTGTATAAACTGTTTCCTCCTAACCCAGTTTCTCTCCCTCAAGGTGGCACATAGACCCAGTGTTTAAGGCATCCTCCCATAATAGTCGTGCACATATTATGTGCCATTCTCCTTTTTTTTCCTTCATATGAAAGGCAGCAAATTATGCACAGTGTACAGGCAGACCTAGTTTTTATAGCACTTACACGTTTTTTTAACAAATTGAAGGGAAGACCCTCCACCAGCAAAAAGATTGCCACTCACCTAATTGCAATACTTGCTGTATTGCAGCGGCTGGAACCAGACCTGCAGCATCTCTGAAGTATGCCTGTAGCGATCTTGCTTTTTTCCCTGAGTACAGACGGTCTTCCTCATTCCTTTTTGTGGCTACGTGCTATTTCACTGGTTGACTAGACCATAACTTATTTACCCATCCTGTGATCCGTGTTCTCTTAGGTTGTCCATTATGATATGCTACAGGACTAGGGTAGGAGGAAGCAAGTGAGGCATCTAAGGAGAAGAATTTAAGGAGGCACTAGCACAAACCTGAGAGTGGGGGCCTCTTAAATCTTCCACCTTCTCCCCTTATCCTACTCCTAGCCCCGCTCTGCTCTTACAAACAGGCTGCAATGATAATTATTGCTTGTACATTTTTTCTCACGCATATTGGGAAATTTTCCAGATGTTAAAATATTGGGGTCAAAGTGTATGTGGGTTTTTTAATTTGAGTGAAGGAAACTTTTACACTCCAACCAACACTTTATAAGAGACTACCTGTTTCCCCATACCCTGATCAACAAATTGTATTAGCAACACTTTTTGACTATTGCCAGTTGGATGGGTAACACATCAAGAAACATGTGGCCAAGATAACTATTTAAAAGATTGGGACTGAAAGCATAGTCTTGCATCTTAATGTAGAAATTCATGAGGTTGCCTGCAGTGCCCTCTCTTCCCCATAGTGTTCACCCTGCATCTGCTCTTGGCTCTGACCAGGAGATGGGGTGTGTGTACCCATTTCCATTCATAGCTTAGAACACCAGCTTTGGAGTCAGGCTAGGTTAACCCAGATAGGCCCTGAATTTAGGGCTGCCAGATTTCACAAATTAAAATACAGGAATACAAATATTGCATATTAATGTTAAAATATTACCCCTTTGAAATTCCATGTAACTGGACATCTTGTATTTTATCTAGCAGCCCTATCTGGGTTAAAATCCAGCAAGCATCTTATAAACTTTGTGATCTTGAATGAGGGCCTCACCTGTGCCTCAGTTTCCCCATTTGTGTTATTCTGCATCAGTTCTTGTAGGAGCCAATGAGACCATCTGTGTGAAGCACTTAGCTCAGTGCTGGGAGCACAATAGGTACACCACAATGTGAGCTCTTTTTATTACTCTGGCTGTACACTGTGCACTGCCCACTTCCCAAGGCTGCCAGGTCCTCTTTCTGACCTCTGTGCTTCATCCTGCTCTTTTTTTGCCCCAGAAGGCTTCCTTCTCTTTTCAGCAGGCCCTAATTCCTCCTAAGCCTTTTGTTGTTGGTTGGAATGTGGCTTTCTCTGGGAAGGCTCTTCGTACCTCGCAGCTGTGTAGATCACCCCCACTCTGTGCTTCCAGGGCCCAATGCTCCTGTCATGTAACTTTCACAGCTCGTGTGATGCCACATGGTCATCATCTTTTTCCATGCCTGGTTCCGCTTCTAGACTTTGAGCTTCATGGGAACAAAGATAATTCACTTCCTTATGCTGGTGTGGCCATGACCTAGCACACAGTAGGACAGCAGGTGTGTTGAATAAATGCCTAGCTGAAGACAAATAATTTCTGTTCTTCTAGCCCTATGATAACTCGGGTATTGTAGATTTTGCCTCTGGCTTGGAAAGAGCAGTGACTGTATTTGGAGTTTAACTATGGACCTTGTATTAATTTTTCATTATGTTGTATATTTAAAATGCCAAATGAGACTGAAGATTTAGGGGCATAGCCAGTGGTGTCAGAGTTCAGATTATAAAGTGGAATCTTAAAGTAAAAAGAGGCAGTCATTCTATATAAAACCTTTCCACATATCTGACCCCCAGCAGCTCTAAACAGAAGTGAACTGTGGTCTTTCCTTTTCCTGAAGGGACATGCCAGATCCAAAGGTGAGTCTGCTTATAACTGTCCTGGAGCTTTGTCCCTGGACATTGCATGTCTCTTGCCAGCCTCAGCCATGAGTAATGTCTTCCATGTACCAAGTGCCTGGCAGTACTCTGTTAAATTGAGCATTCCATCATGATTCATGTACACATTTTATAGTAGCACCAGGGTTGGCTCTGAAGATCATAAACACTAAAGAGATGATCACTTTGGGGGAGGGAGACATGATTTGTGGATGACCTTGGCCCAACAGTGACAAGTTCAGATAATGACGGACATTTACATATGTTCTCTGTTTTCTTACGCAAACAGGACAAAGCTTACACATATTTACATGGTCTTTTTATTTTCCATTTCTAGTATCACAGCCCTGTTCTAGTTTTTATTACCTCCTGCATGAAAACCATAAAATCACTGCTCTGCCAGTCCCTCTCCATTCACTTCCCAAGCCATCCTGTCTGCCTTTGGCCAATAAATCTTTATGAAGACAGAGTCCTCCTAACGTGACCCCTTTCTCAGAACACATCAGGGCTCCCACACCCTCGCCACCTCCCTCCTGTGTAGTGCAGGCGCACAGGTGGTTGAGACATTACTTTCCGAAGTACAAATCACCTTTAATCTGGGCATGGACCCACCCTGCTGGGTCACGGTCTAGTCCCAGAACAGCTAGGCCGTGAGTGTGTCTGCAGTAGCAGAAACCAAACATGTCTTCCTGGAAAACTACACGCTTCTGGTGTGGTAGACCTTGAGCTTAGCTCTCCTGGATTCCAGTGACCAAAAGCTGATCCTGAAATTCGCATGGAACTTCAGGGACCGTTGCAAAAAGAAGAAGAATGTTGGAGGACTCACAATTCCTGATTTTAAACTCACTAGAAAGCTACAGTAATCAAAACACTATGGTACTGGCATAAGGATAGACACATAGATCAATGGACTAGAAATGAGAGCCCAGAAATAAACCCTCATATTTAGGGTCAGTTGATTTCTGACCAGGTTGCCAAGACAATTCAGTGGGGAAAGGACAGTCTTTATAACATGGTGCTGGGACAACTGGATAGCCACATGCAAGAGAGTGGCTCTATGTCTTTTCTTTTTACTAATTTATTTTATTAGGGTTAAATATAAAGGCATTTTGGTGAGATGGAAATTTTCAACTCTTAGGCATCTGGCAATGTAGCTAAGAATAAATGAACACGGAAGTTGGCAGAATTTTGAGGAGAAATGGATCAATCCAATTACAGTGGTGACTTAACCAAGTCTTTCAGAAACTGATGCAGATCAACAGGCCGAAAGCAGAGACTAATGACACGGGATCTGCATCACACCATCGACAGGTGGTTGAGTGGAAATACGAGGAACTTCACACTCAACAATAGAGAATGCACCTTCTTCGTGAGCTTACACGGGATAGTTAGAGAAACCAGCGTATACTTGGCTGTAAAGGAAATCTCACTGCCGCTTCTCTCCGTGGCGATAATTTCTGAGACGGCTTTGCTTCCCTCTGTTTCCTTCCTGGGTTGTTTCTCCCAGTTCCTGTTTCACCTCTGCCTGTTTTATGATCGTCTAGATGAATTCCTTCATTTCTGCTTTATGGTCTTTCTGAGCTGTAATTGCTTCATAAAGACTTTTTGCTTTCTTTTTAATTCATGATGGAAATGAACTGTTGGGTGTCATTTTCACCGGCCGTGGCAGCCTTTTCCAGGTGAGTGTGCCTCGTCCCTTGGGAGCTGGGCTGCTCTTTTCATCATTTTTCCTGTGCTGTCTTCACACGATGGCGAGCACATTCGTCAGGACTAACGTGGTGCAGGAAGGAGGTCCTCTCCCCACTTTGCTTTCTCAGTGATGCTTCATAGCATTTGAAACAGATGGGTGCACATCTATCATGTACCTGACAAGTTACCTGACTCCCCAGTTTGAAGGGAAGAATTTGTGTGTCTTTGGCTCATAGCTTGCTCCCAGGAACTAAATCAGTGCCTGATTTATAGTCTACACTCAGTAAATATTTGTTGAATAAATGAGCACATAGTGGCTCAAAAAACAGGTGTGGATTTGAATTGGTCATTTAAAAACCCATTTACTAAAGTTTTAATAATGCATTATTATAGCAAGTGTGGAAGCCAGGAACCTGAGGGAGGCAGGTCCCCACACACTTTCCAGCTCTCTAGCTAAATAATCATCTCCATACTGAGTCCTGTGCCAGTGGGGATACGCTTAACATTAAGATGTTGAGCCCTTGCGCTTTTACACACCTCTAATGGAATATAAAATGTCTCTTTCTCTGTATGGGGAGCATTTGGCAAGAAGCATGTGCCTGTTGATGAAGCCACTCAGGTTCTAAGAATTTTCCCATAAAGGTGCTCACAGAGTCTGCAAGGCCATGTGTACAGTGTGAAAAATTCGGTTTGGGACTATACACCACAGGGGTGCACATCACAACCCACTGAGATGGGGCAAGACAGTTACAACTATTTCTATTTATTTTTCATCTAGATAAAAGATAGAAATCAAGCTTCACTAACATTTACTATTACAATGACCACCACCATTCAGTCAGCAACAGGGGTCAGGTGGACACTTAATCATGGAATTCCAAGGCATCCTGAGGGAAGGACAGTTCAACCCAGGGGGTAACGATTTCCAGCTCACTTGTTGATTTGCTTTTAGCATAGGATTACTTTTGCAGTTTCTGTGTGCCCAGTTGAATGGATTTCTAGGTTACTCCCTCTTCTTTTGTGTTAGTCACTGCAAACTCAACCCGGGCCATTTCAGAATGTGACCCTCGCTCTTCCAGGCATGCCGTGGCGGAAGGAGCAGACGGAGGACCTGCAGCGGGTGCTCAGGACCGTGGACAGCGAGATCCCGCTGGTCCTGGTCAGCGGCAACCACGATGTGGGCAATGTCCCCACCGCTGAGACCATCGCCGAGTTCCAGCACACATGGGGAGACGACTACTTCAGCTTCTGGGTCGGGGGCGTCCTGTTCCTCGTTCTCAACTCCCAGCTCCTGTACGACGCCTCCAGGTGCCCTGCCTTGAAGCAGGCGCAGGACCAGTGGCTGGACCAGCAGCTGAGTGTCGCGGGGCAGCAGAAGTGCCAGCACGCCATCGTCTTCCAGCACATCCCGCTGTTCCTGCAGAGCATTGACGAGGACGATGACTACTTCAGCCTCACCAGGACCGTGCGGAAGGAGATGGCAGACAAGTTCGCCAGAGCAGGTAACAGCAGCACCTGATGTCTGGATGGAAGGGTGGTCTGAAGACGTGGTTTCCATATCCTTCTGCCCCTCTGCAGCCTGGGGAGAGAGGATGGGGCTTCAGACAGAACCAGCTTTGAATCTCAGCTCTGTCACTCACTGGTCGTGAGGCCTTGGACGAGCTACCTAGCCCTTCCAAGCCTCAGTTTCCTCACCTGTAAAATAGGAATAGCAGAAGTAGCTCTCATAGGCCAGCTGTGAGGGGTTAAATGAAAAGAGGCTGTAAAGCATTAGAGTAGCCCCTAGCCTATGAGAACTAAAGTTGTGGGAGCTACTCACAGCTGAGGATGCTGAGAGGGGGGGCCTACAGGTAGGAGGTCACTGGGGGCAGGCTCTGAGTGTGACTGTATGTGCCCCTGAAAAGGGAAGATACCAGGGGCAACTTTTCTCATTTCTCTGAGGAGCGGGAACTTGCCCAAGGGCAGGTGATCTTTAAGAACCAAGTTTCACCCCCCTTCAGGTGTATCCTGGGAGACCCTGGGGGTGGGGACTGCAATGGGCAGGCCCTGGGCCTCACTGGTTTTCCTTTGGAGAGGACCAACTTCTCCCCCAGACCAGGGGAGAAGCATACATGGTGTGATCTCACATTAAACGTGTTTAGTCTGCTGTACATTTTTAACTGATCGTGCATTTGACACACACACACACATGAAGATGCTCCCTTTGTAGAGATCTTGGTTTCTGTGGCCCTCTGTGTGGCACTGACTCATGCAACTCACTTCTCCTCCTGGTGCCACCTGCAGTCTTCCGCTCATAAAAACGGTTTTAACAGCTGTTGTGTCTCTTGTTTGTTCCTAATGCCTCTGTTTAGATCTTTCCAGAGTATACTTTGTCAGACTTTCCTAAAATTTAAATTTATTGGTTAGGGTATAAGGAGAGGGAGGTGGCCTAACCAAGTAGCAATCATTCATTAGAATAAAAAAAAAAATCCCAACACTCTTCTTTTCATCTTGGAGTATTAAATGAGTTCACATTCACTTGTGAAAAGTACAATAGGCCCTGCTGTATTTTTGAGGCATTTTATAAAAAGCTTGCATAATTGGAGACATTTTCCAACTGTTTCATGGAGATGAAGTAAGAAAACTTCTATTAAGGTCTTTGAAATTTGTGCCATGCTTGAGCTGGTGTAGAAAACCGTTTCGATGACAAGGAAATAAGTGTCAAGATGGCATCGGCACCACCATGGAGACTGTTTTGTAACAGAATAATGTCAGAGAGAACATTTAATGCCACTCAAATGATTCCTTTCATATCAAATGTTAAATGATGCAAATGCCGTCCCCCTGGCTGCTCTTTGTTCTCTGTTGTTGTCAACCACAGTCTTGAGTGGCATGTGGCTAGGGGTTTCCCATCGTAGGATGGAGCAGATGTGATCACCAGCACCCCCAGATATTGAGATCTGTACATATTTATAAAGAGAGAGCCTACAGCTCTAACAGGGCATCCTTGGGGGAGCCTGCTGCCCACCCACCGGGAACCCCAGAGGGTGGCATTGTATCTGGGCTGCCCCGGCCACCTCCCCTGTCAGGCCTGCAGCCCTGCAAGCACAGGAAGGATTTGTTGGCACACCAGAGCTGGCCTGTGTCTCAGAGGTGGACTCCCCATGCCCCGGCTCACAGAAACTACCACCAGAATGCCAGTTAAATAATTTAGGGCAAGACTGAAACCCCCAACAGCACAGTCTCTTCCCAAAGGTAGAGCGACATGGGGCTCTAAGTTATAGTCAGGAGATTGTTTGCTAAGCTGGGGACAGAGCAGGGAGCTAGTTTCTTATTCCTCTCTGAGTGGCATCGGGCTCTGGCACCCTGATGGACCATCTCCAGCAGAGCCTCCTGGCCCAGGAAGACTCATATATCATATGCCTTGAAGCCTGCCTCCTTGATACCCCTCCAACCCGTCCACTTCTTTAGGCCACCATTGTCTCTCATCTGGGTCATAGCAACAGCCCTGACCTGGTGCCCCTGCCCCGCTCTTCCCCACTCCAGTCCACCTCCACCTAGCAGCCAGAAGGGCAGGTAGCTCCACAGCCTCCACCCATCTGAGGCCCCCTCACCCCCAGGGTAAGGCAGCTCCTCACCCTTCCCCCTCATGTCCGCCTCATCCATTTCAGCCGGCCAACGCCTACTTTACTGTGACACCTTCAGTGTGAGGTGCCCCCGGCCCCATCCCACTCCTCAGCTTTCCTTGGTCCCAGCAGATTTGCATGTGTTGACTTGTCTGAATCCCCTACTGGACTCAGCTCCTTGAACACAGAGCCACTGTTATAGTCACCTCTGCACTCAGGAGGCCTGGCTCAGGTCTCAGCTCATAATAAATGCCTCATCAGTATTGGGGGATGAATGAAGGACTATAACCGACTCACACCCCTTCCCTCCGTGACCAACTGACAAGAGCCTGTGTCTTTGTTTAGCACCACTGTATGCTGGGCACAGAGCTCCGGGCACAGCCTTCCCGTGGGGTGTTCCAAGTGTCAGTACCCATCACAGGGCCTCCAAGTCCTTTGGTCGTGTGCATTTTTCTTCTCTGACTCACATGCTGGCTCTCCAGTTCACTAAGCAGTCAGTTTCTCTCTTCACAAGTGGCCCCTCAGTCTTCCCACCAGGCACCACCTTCATGTGTGAGAAGGAATCCTCATGGCTACTGGCCTCAGGATCTTCGCCTAGACCTGCTTGTGGTGAAAACCAGAGAGATGGATGCCCTTGCAGCAGTCCCCTGTCAGTTTTCGTGGCTTAACCAAACCAGGCCCTTTGCTTAATGGCCTTTCAAACACAGAACAAACCACAGGCACCATCAGGAAGAGATCAGATCAGGTGTGGACACAGCTCTAGCCGGCTGAGTGACCTGCCTGGTGGGGAAGCTCAGGTAGGTGGGCTCCCCTGGCAATGTCTGCACTGTGACTCAGTAATGCAGGAGATGGCTCGGTCACAGCAATGTAATTTGAACTCATTTTGGAAAGCCAGAAGTTCAAGTGACATTTTGCAAAATCAGTTAACTAAAGGACCATGATGAAATTGGGGGCGGTGATGGCAGATGGTATTTAATACTGCCTCAGCTTCCCCCCACAGCAATATTATCCCTAATCCTATTTCAGTCTCATTAAAATCTCCTGCATTAAAATGCCACTACTCAAAAATATGTCAAAAGCTCATCAGAATATCCAGGGTAGCTTTTAATTATGATAATTGTGTTGTTATAAAATATCCTTTAAAGAGCACATCCCTCCTCCAACCACCCTGGAGGTAAAACCCAGCTTCCTTCCAGGAGGTTTAATGAATAATTCTGAATCATTGTGTGGGATGAATAAATGATTTAATAACGAGCATCAGCAATCATCTCACATTGTTGCAGTAATCTCTAAATGGGACCAGGTAGAGGAGGAGGAGGGTGTTACTATACAGCGGGCCACCGTGTGTAGGGATGCGATCTCTGAATCCAAGCCCACGAGCTTCCCAGCTCAGGTTTCCCTAGAAACAGGTGCATTCTGTTTCTCTTTTTGAAGCTCAATAAAAAACCTTCTTTGTATGATAAAAAACGTTGTCAATAGCCAGTACAAATAAACAGTTATCAGGGCAGGACAGATGCACAGATGTGCAGCGGCTCCGGTTAGTTTCTGTCGTCTTCTTGCTCTGCCTGAGGATAATCAGTTTCATCACATCCATGAGCTAGCGAGATTAGTTTTCTCCTTAATTCACCGGAAACCTAGTTGGAGTTGCAGAGATAGGTAGTCGATAATGAAATCTTGGCTGAACCTGGCCATTGTCTCCATCCCTGTGCCTTTTCCAGCAGAGGGTTAATGTGTGACCCAGCTAATATGGATTTCAACTTAAAAACGCGATCTTAAAAAATGAAATCCTAACTCTTTAACTCTTTGCTTTGATGTCTCGATACCTTTTTTCCCCACGCTCAGCAGAGAGATTAGGACTGTGTAAGAGTAAATTTGGCAATTATGAAAAAACCGGATAAGTTGATCTTTCCTGCAAAAGTTAATGAGTAATTTCATGAATTGTAGTTTCATCTCTAGTATTTATGCTTAAAAAACAAACAGACAAACTAGAGAAAGAGAGCTCTCAGCCTAAGGTTATGGTCTTAGAATTTCAGAGTTTTGAAGAACAAAAAAGGTTAGGTTTCCAGGGTTCACTTTATAGGAAAAATAAAACACCAAATCATATTCTAGCATCTCACTGCACTGTGCTGAAATCTTTTTACACCCTGATTTTTTCAGGAAGTAGGATCCCAGCCTTGTTCCCCTTTGTCTGCCCAGCCCCTGGCCAAGGCTGTCCCATAGTAGCTCCTTAGTGAATAAATATTGGTTAAATGGAATTGATTTAAACTTGATTCAAACCTATATATTAGCAGACTCATAGGTAATGTCCTGTGGATTGGTGTTTACCAGCTGACTTTTTGATGGGAAATGCGTTACCTAGAGCAGGGGCTGGCAAACTTGCAGACATTTTCTGCAGAGAGTCAGAAATTTTGGACTACAATCTCTGTAGTGACTACTCAGCTCTGCCTTTGTAGCATGAAAGCATCCACAGAGGGTGCTTTCACCCTAAGCAAATGGGTGGGCTTATAGGCCATGATTTTCCCACCCTGGGCTTAGAGAAACATTCCCATTACAGTGTGTCGCTCCTTCTCTCCCTGGGACTTTGTGTGCACTGTGCATGTGTCCAATTCCAGGATGCTTCAGGTGACTTCACTGAGATAGCTGCCTGACTCACTGCCCAGAACTAGGCCCTGGTGTTCCTCTGGGCGGGGGGTGCACCCGAGTGAGGCAGGTTTCATGGAGGCCTGTGATGTAATTGGAGGTAGGGGTGGAGGTGGGGAGGGTACATGGGACACTTAAAATCTAACACTTGAGTGTTTATTTTAACGTGTTAGAAAAGCAGAACTAGCTCATCAATTTAAAGAAAAATACTAGGTAATAATATTACGGGTAGTATGCAGGTAAGGCAGAGATTGTGA